CCCGTTCAAATCGATCGACCACTGTTTTAGTTGACAATAGTCCCTCATAGACCTTCTCAAAAACAAACGCACGAAAAAAAAGTAAAAAAATAATAATTGTCGTAATTACAAAAGCTCTACAAATTTGCGTTTTCTCCGATTTGAGGCTAAGCCTGTATTCACAGAAGACTTAAACTCTAGGTCTTTTTAAGTGCACTTGAAAATGAGTCATTCAATTCCAGGACTTTTCAAGGATTTCAAGGAGTAGCGCGAACCCTGATAAGGACCTATTCTACATACCTTGGTTTTCTTCTAGAATCACACCAGATAAAGTCTGCTCACAAGACTTGAGAAGATCAGCACACCAGCTGTCAATCATCGTCTGTGTAATAAAAACACAGAACAGTACGAGAATAATTACGAGAATAATGAAGAGTTTAATCGACTCATGTCAGTATCACCACCGTACTGGCAACTTCAACAAAAACAACAACAACAACAACAACAACAACAACAACAACAACAACAACAACAACAACAAATCATTCTGTAGCGACGCCATTTTGTTCTGATAGGAGTTGACTTCCTCGTATTTTGTTATTCCGCTAAAATATTCCACTTAAATCGTTGTTGCATTTTCTTCGCAGTAATGAAAGTACAATGTATATTTAGCGATTTCTACAAAGAAAGCATAAAATCAAATTTTACGAAGACTTTTAAAAGGTTTTATAAAATCTTAGATGTATAAACGCGCGCTCTGATTGGCTGACGACCGTGTTTATATCAAAGGACAGAGACACGGCTTACTGGTAAAATTTGTTTTTCGCTTGAAAAACGCAGAAAAATTTTATAAAAGAACTATAAAACGGCCGCTTGTGTCGTTGTCTTCTGATATAAACACGGTGGGAGTTGAAAAGCACTCGAGAAGCAAGAAAAACACTCGCTTAGCTCATGTTTCTAAGCTTGCTTCTCTCGCGTTTTTAAACTCCCACCGTGTTTATATAAGATGGCAGAAACACGCGCGCCGTTTTTATTTCTAACTTCCATCATGCTGTGTTATACAAAATGGCGTCGCCCCAATTTGTGCATAATTATTCAACTTACCTTTGCTTGGGGTTGTGATCTGCAAAGCTAAAAAACACAGGTAATCAGATGGCATGATTTCAAGGCAGAAAAGGGACTTTAAGGGAGCTTATGGATGTTCACATAATTCCACTGGGCTAAGGAAGCAGTGCAATTATGTGAAAATCGTAAAATCCATAACTAAGAGTTAAAGTATAAAAAGTGAAAATGTAGGTGGATCTTTACAAAATTTTGCTTATTAGCATAAAGTTTAAATTGAAAAACTGTATAATAAGTTCATAATGTAAAAAAACTAATAAAGAACTATAAACTACGAAAGTTTGATGTCTTTACATGCACTAGTTGATGAGATATTAGCGTTCAAAGATGCTGAGTGGCAACAGCGCTAATTAGCTCATATAATCTCTCTAAAAATTGGAGTTTTTAAAACCGTTTGACGCAAAAAGTATTTCATATGGGAAGCTCAAAATTGCGTGGAAAGCTTATTGTACAATGTTCAGTGCTGATTTATTGATAGTTAGGTTAAAACGTTATATGTTTATGCTAATGATATGCTAATGAACCGAAATGTAAACAAATTATTCGCCTATAGCTCTTAATCTATGAGTTACATACCTTACAAAGAGTCCCAATAATAGCAGCAATGACGTCTGGAGTGTCATTGAATCCACTCAACTTTCTTTGCAGCTCCTCTGTTAAAAAAAAAACATTGTTTGTGCTATACTTTTGTCACAAAATTCCAGGATTTTAAAAATACTTTTTAGGCAGAAAAATTCGATTTTCGATGACTTTTTTTAAGTTCTGCGTTTGATGTTTTTGGACGATTTTTTATGACTAAGAAATGCAACAGATTGAAGGAGCATTGTTGTTGCTTTTTTCACCTCTATCTTCAAGGAGATTTTCAAGTGTTCAATTCCAAGACTTTTCAAGCACAAACCCTGGAAATCTTCATTAACCCCACATTACACATCGAATGTCCGCAACATGGCTATGATTTGTTGTAGGATTCTGTTATCAAGTTGTAGACCACACGTGTCTGGTGGAAGAGCCCCTCAAATGGCACAAATTGCGTCGCACAATTTGGCCCCCACAACAAGGTTTCTTCTAGATCAACAATGATAACTAAAATTGACGGGTTTATTGGACTCGAAGATTCATTTTTAAATCAAACTAACCAGTTAAAGACACGACCATGTTTTCAGGAAGCTTGTCGCTAACGCTTCCTATGACAGACAACACCCAGCACAGAGTTTCTGCATCACAATCTAAAACAATAATAAAATAATGATATA